TTAGTCTATAGTCTAGTTTGGTCTATAGTCTAGTTTAGTCTATAGTCTAGACTATAGACTAGACTATATACTAGACTATATACTAGACTAGACTATAGACTATACTAGACTATAGACTAGACTATATACTAGACTATATACTGACTATAGACTAGACTATATACTAGACTATAGACTAGACTATAAGCTAGACTATAGTTTTCGCATGGGACAGTAATGAAAGAAATTCCTAGGTTATAGTTACTCACAATTGTTCAAAAATTTCTTTTACTTCTTACGTTTTCAAATGTTTGTGTGCGTTAACATTTTAATAAAGTCAATATTTTATTTTAAATAAACATTTCAATAACTTAAAGTGAAAATCTGCCTTAAAAAATTATAACCAACATCCAACCAACAAAAGCCACTTAGGGTAAGAGAAATGTTTATTACAATTTACACACTTATTTTCTAATAATCTTTCAATTTGTCTCTTTACATTTTTCCAATAATTTTCAACTCGAATCAACTAGATGGCCATCTAAAGCTAAACTGCGTAAACACATGTATTGCCACGATACGAACAGACAAAAAGTTTGCGATCAATGTGGCAAAACATTTGCCTGTAATTCCAGTATGCAAAAACATGTCAATTCCGAACATTCCGAAATTAAACCAGAACCTCAACAATGTAAAATATGCAATACCTGGTATCGCAACATGTCGGGCTTGAGAACACACATGAAATTTATGCATGAAAATATTGGAGGTGAACATCGTTGTCAGATCTGTAATAAAGTATCGTCAAATGCACGAGCTCTACGAAGGCACATCTATTTGAATCATGAATGTGAACGCAAATACAAATGTCACATGTGTGAGAAGGCCTTTAAAAGAGAACAGGATTTGAGAGTATGTATTTTGGTTTTTAATGCCCTAAAATAAGTAAAATAATTATGTTTAACTTGTTTTCTAGGAACACATTTCTGTACATACAGGTGAAGCCTTGTATACTTGTCCCAATTGTCCCATGACATTTTCCTCTAGTGCCAATATGTACAAACATCGTCAACGTTTGCATAAGGCCGAGTACGCGGCACATAAGCAACAACCTTTGGCCTTGAATATCATAAAACAAGCTAAATCTATGCCAAATACAGTGCGCACTAAAAGACGTATGATTGTTGATCCACCTCAGTCGTCGGAAATTATTATGCCTCCCACTTCGGCCCTGTTAAATCAACAGCTTGTTATAACATCACAATATACTACTATAGCACCAAATTTGGCTAAATTACATGATTAGAAATAAGAAATAATAATATTAAATCATTAGGTGTAAAAATTATGTTTTTTTTTTCAGAAGAATATAAATAAGTACTATAATAATGGAGAAGTTTTTAAGAGGTTTATTTGTTCTTATAAAAGATATGCTTCCTTTTAGAAATAAATATGTTTTAGTTTGTCAAATACAAAACAATCATGGATGGATTGTTCAATTATCTGGTGTATGGTTATTAATTTTGGAATTAACAAGGATTTAAATTAAAATCACCCAAGTTTGAAACATTCATCGGCAGAGACAAAGTTAAAATTTGTGAATATTTGGAATTTTTCTATAAAAAGGTAAGAAATTATTATGTATCTATTAATGAATTTTAATTAAACTTTAGAAAAACATTCTTTGAATATTTTTTCAAATTAAAAAAATTTACTTATTGTGTGAAGTTCGGTTCGATATCTGGAAAACCTCATGTTTTGAATTAATTTTGAGGCCAGATTCGGATGTAGCGCTGCTTAATCCTTTAGAAAAAGTATACTTTTGTGTTATAAATTTGTTGGCCTATGTTATTTAGAAAGTAATTATTCTAAAGTTTATTTTCAACCCGATTATAGCCTAGACATTATCATTATACCCTACACCACTTTAGTGGGGAGGGTATTGGATTTGTGTGTGGTATATTGTTTGTAACATACAAAAATATTCGTCCTAGACCCACCTTAAAGTATACCAATCGGCTTAGAATCGTTTTCTGAGTCGATTAAGCTATGTCCGTCCGTCCGTCTGGCTGGCTGTCCATGTAAACCTTGTGCGAAAGCTACAGGTCGCAATTTTCAAGATAATTAGATGAAATTTGGCACGCACGTTTTATTTGACCCAAGGACGAAGCCTATTGAAAATGGTTAAAATCGGTCCATTATTTCACCTAGCCCCCATAGAACAGAACCCCCCCGAAAAGGGCTTTTGAGCTCATAATTATGTTAAATATACAGATATATCGATAAAATACGGAACAACTAAGTTTTATAGAAGTCTTGATGACCTTGCCAAATTTCATAAAGATCGGGCCCCATTTGACCCTAGCTCCCATACAAAGCCCCCTTCTGAAAATTACTTGAATGTCCTAAATTAACTTATAAACACAAATATCGCGATGAAATTCAGCAAAATAAAATATTATGTAAATATAAATATATTCACAAAATGTTATCGGGCTTGGTCCATATTTGCCCCTAGCCCCCATACAAAGCCTCTTTCAGAAAATTAGTTTTTCATCCATAAATTGCTTAAATGTATCGGAACAAGGGAATATTGAAGATAAATGCTTTATTATGAGAAATAAATCACATTTAATATTCATAACTGGTGTAGGGTATCATATGGTCGGCCACGCCCGACTATACTTTCTTACTTGTTTTTAACTACTTTTTTTGATCTATGATGAGCGTTCTCACTGGAATATGCTTATGATTTAAACAGGAAATTGGGATTTGTTTGATTCGTTCTTGTTCTCAAAAATAAGCAGTTCTTTTGCCAAGGAAAAGATCGAAAAAGGTCATAGCTTATATTGCACCAATGTATCACAAAAACGCCGACAATTTGGGATTTTAGAACATTGAGTCATTAACAAATTCATCACTATTCTGCAATGTCTCCAATTGGCAACTTTGATATTTTGCATTTCGAATCGATACTCCGTTACTAAAGAAAACAACTTTTAAAAAACGTAACTACGATCGTAATGCATAATACACACAATCGTAAAGCATTGAAACGAAATGGAATTGCTTCATCTTCTTACGATTCTGATTTGTGTTGGAATACCCTTTTTTCGATCATTGCGTAACTTAATGTGGAAATAGAATCGAAATTCAAGGGTGATTAACTATGTTGATTAATTTTGTTGATGTAACACACCACTCTAGAGGGAAGGCACTAGTTTTAGGTTAGAGAACACCACTCGGAGACCACAAGGTCCATTGTGATTCCCTTCGTAGTGTGTGAAAATCCAAAGATAGAGAAACAAAACTCTAAAAATAACAATTTAACAAGTAAAATTTAGAGTGGAATAAAGGCCGAATCGATTCACTAAGGAAAGAGTTGTGAGAGAATTGCACACCTATATCCATCTTGGACCCGCCGTAAAAACTGCAGACCCATCTAACAGTCTATCAGATAAAAGCCTATCGTCCCTAGTTGGAAATTCCATTAGAGGTTTTTCTCTTCAAAGGTCTTTGTCATTTCTCAAGACCTCTCACCAAACTATACAACCATAAGAATGTGTAAATCCAATTTAACATATCCGGTTGCGGACTCCAATTCTTCTCTATAGAATTCTTGCATGGGTATTATGCATTGAATGCCTTTCTCGTCCTTTCTTGCGTATTTTCTTTCTATGAAAGATTATTTCGACGTTATCTTACATTGGCAGCCTAATGCTAGTTCAAGTTTCACAGAATTAACGCCCAGTCCTTTTGCTTTCGCTCATATCAAGAGCTTATCTAATAATAATGATGTAACTGATCGTGGATAGAAATTTTCCTTTGGCTAGTAACACAATGTCATCTGCATAGTCCACAATTTTCTTGCCTTTTGAATCAAATAGCTTTAGAATACCGTTAACCAGTAGTAGCCACAATAGGGGAGATAAAACATCCCCGGTAATCTTCATTTTCAAGTCGTCCTCAATACAACTTATCACCTTATGTAGCGCACTCTTAACAGATTTACCCAAAAAGTAGGCATGTTGTACACCACTAATGTGGTGAGTATCAATTAGAATAATCAGTCTCTCACGTGCTTTAAAGATATCAGAAGATGGGCTAATAGTTCTAGAATCGTTTGGCTTGCCTTCCCGTCCTTGGGTATAAAAATAACCCTAACCAAAGGCATTTCCTATAAATATTCAGGTAAATTATTTAATTTTCTCTAGTATGGGCGGATCAATGATCGGATCAATTCTAAAATTTTTTATTCATATGATCTATCAGTTGAACATACCGATGTCAACAGTCAACCGACGACACCTTTTAGAAATTCTGTTACTTAATTCTGAACTAATCTGGATTTTTGTTCGTTTGAGGATCATTTTGAAATTTTCGAAAATTTACATGATAAAATAATCTACAAATCATGTTAGAATTTTAAAACTGTCAAAGTTATTATATCTTTTTTAAAAATTTTAGAAAATTGAAATTTATGGTCCAAAAATTAAAATAAAATTTTATTATTTTCGACAATTTTCAAAATTTGTTTAGCAATATGAACCTAAATGACTAAATCGTTTTCGAGATATCAGCTATTTTGATAAAAAATGTTCGATAGTTTCATTCGAATTTTGAATTAACACTCTATTATCTGAAGCATTTTCAATACATTGGTTTTTCTTTAGCGGTTAAATGAAACATATTTGTCGGAAAATGTTCACTTAAACTAGTTGGTGCAAAGTAAATGGGAAATTCAAAATTTCTTTGTTAATGACACAAACTTATATGTATGTAGTATACCAGTGAACTCTGTCAATAACTCGTCTTCGTAAAAGCCACTTAGGGTAAGAGAAATTTCATTATTCTCTGTTAATGTTGCAAAAATAATACTATACAAAATCACTATCATTTCATTTTCAGATTACCTTCTGAAAGTAAATTACGTGAACACATGCATAGTCATGATCCAACAAAACGACAAATATGCGATAAATGTGGTAAAACTTTTAAGAATAATTACAATATGAAAAAACATGAAGAATCTGAACATTCTGAGGTAAAACCTGAACCTCAACAATGTACCATTTGTAATACATGGTATCGCAATTTGGCTGGTCTAAAGACCCACATGAAAATATGCACGATAATATGGGCGAAGAACATCGTTGTAATATTTGTAATAAAGTATCAACTACACAACGAGCCCTTAAGCGTCACATCTATTTAAATCATAAGTGTGAAAGAAATTCAAGTGCAATATGTGCGAAAAGGCTTTTAAAAGGGGTCAAGATTTAAGAGTAAGTGAAAAAGTACTGTTTTTTTTTTTTTTTTAAATACACCCTGATCAATTTATATTTGTACTATTTCACAGGAACATATTTCTGTGCACACGGGAGAAGCTTATATACCTGTCCCAATTGTCCTATGACCTTTTCGTCTAGTGCCAATATGTATAAACATCGTCAGCGTTTACATAAGGCTGAATATGCAGCCTATAAGCAACAGGCCATGCCTCCTAATATAATAAAGCAGGCTAAAACGGGAGCTGCAAATAAAATTCGCTTCAAAAGACGTTTTATTGAGACGACTAGTGAATCTCATGAACATCTTATTACGATTTCCCCCGAAGTTAATGTTACAATGGAATTTCAAACAAATCCTACTCTGTTGAATTCACAATTATTAACCGCCGCTCAATTTGATTTGCAATAGTTGTAATTTATTTAAATTAATTGTTTTTTATATACATCTCCCTATTAAAGGGTTAATCGTTTTAATTATGTTTGTATACAGGTGAGGTATGGTTAACCTTACTAAAAATTTTTGTAATAAAATATTATCCCAAGGATAAAACGTTTTTGTATTATTACTGTTTTACTGCTAACTCTTAGATATTTGATATATGAATATAATAAACCTTTTGCTAAAAACTTGCTAAATAGTTCTAATTGCTTTTGAATTTCAGCAAAGTGACCCAAATTATGATCGAAAGAAGAAGCTTATGATTAGTCAATAAACCAGCCAATAGAACTAATCCCATGGTCTAGTCAAGAGATTAGTTCATAGACTAGAGCAGAGAGTAGTTAATAGATTAGTTCATGGACAACTTAAAAGAGTAGTCCATAGACTAGTGTAAAGACTATAGAGGAGACAATAGACTAGAGAATAGACTAGAGAATAGACTAGGCAATATACTAGACAATAGCCTAGAGAATAGACTAGACAATATCCTAGAGAATAAACTAGACAATAGACTAGACAATAGACTAGACAATAGACTAGACAATATCCTAGAGAATAGACTAGACAATAGACTAGACAATAGACTAGACAATAGACTAGACAATAGACTAGACAATAGACTAGACAATAGACTAGACAATAGACTAGAGAACAGACTGGACAATAGACTAGACAGTAGACTAGACAATAGACTAGAGAATAGACTAGACAATAGACTAGAGAATAGACTAGACAATAGACTATAGAATATACTAGGCAATATACTAGACAATAGCCTAGAGAATAGACTAGACAATAGACTAGAGAATAGACTAGACAATAGACTAGACGATAGACTAGACAATAGACTAGACAATAGACTATACAATAGGCTATATAATAGACTAGGCAATATACTAGACAATATCCTAGAGAATAGACTAGACAATAGACTAGACAATAGACTAGACAATAGACTAGACAATAGACTAGACAATAGACTAGACAATAGATTAGACAATAGACTAGATAATAGACTAGACAATACACTAGACAATAGATTAGACAATAGACTAGACAATAGAGTAGCCAATAGACTAAAGAATAGACTAGACAATAGACGAGACAATGGACTAGAGAATATACTAGACAATAGACTAGATATTTGACTAGGGAATAAACTAGACAATAGATTAGACAATAGACTAGACAATATACTGGACAATAGACTAGACAGTAGACTAGACAATAGACTAGAGAATAGACTAGACAATAGACTAGAGAATAGACTAGACAATAGACTAGACAATAGAGTAGAGAATAGACTAGGCAATATACTAGACAATAGCCTAGAGAATAGACTAGACAATAGACTAGATAATAGACTAGACAATAGACTAGACGATAGACTAGACAATAGACTATACAATAGACTAGACAATAGACTAGAGAACAGAGTGGACAATAGACTAGACTGTAGACTAGAAAATAGACTAGAGATTAGACTAGACAATAGCCTAGAGAATAGACTAGACAATAGACTATAGAATAGACTAGGCAATAATAGACTAGACTAGATAATAGACTAGACAATAGACTAGACGATAGACTAGACAATAGACTATAGATTAGACTAGGCAATATACTAGACAATAGCCTAGAGAATAGACTAGACAATAGACTAGACAATAGACTAGACAATAGATTAGACAATAGACTAGACAATAGAGTAGCCAATAGACTAAAGAATAGACTAGACAATAGACGAGACAATGGACTAAAGAATATACTAGACAATAGACTAGATAATTGACTAGAGAATAAACTAGACAATAGATTAGACAATAGACTAGACAATAGACTGGACAATAGACTAGACAGTAGACTAGACAATAGACTAGAGAATAGACTAGACAAGAGACTAGAGAATAGACTAGAGAATAGACTAGACAATAGAGTAGAGAATAGACTAGGCAATATACTAGACAATAGACTAGACTATAGACTAGACAATAGACTAGATAATAGACTAGACAATAGACTAGACGATAGACTAGACAATAGACTAGACAATAGACTAGATTAATAGGCTAGACAATAGACTAGACGATAGACTAGACAATAGACTATACAATAGACTAGACAATAGACTAGACAATAGACTAGACAATAGACTAGGACAATAGACTAGACAATAGACTAGACAATAGACTAGACAATAGACTAGACAATAGACTAGACAATAGACTAGACAATAGACTAGACAATAGACTAGACAATAGACTAGACAATAGACTAGACAATAGACTAGACAATAGACTAGACAATAGACTAGACAATAGACGAGACAATGGACTAGAGAATAGACTAGACAATAGACTAGACAGTAGACTAGACAATAGATTAGACAATAGACTAGACAATAGACTAGACAATAGACTAGACAATAGACGAGACAATGGACTAGAGAATAGACTAGACAATAGACTAGACAGTAGACTAGACAATAGATTAGACAATAGACTAGACAATAGACTATTACAATAGACTAGACAATAGACTAGACGATAGACTAGACAATAGACTAGACAATAGACTAGATAATAGGCTAGACAATAGACTAGACGATAGACTAGACAATAGACTATACAATAGACTAGACAATAGACTAGACAATAGACTAGACAATAGACTAGACAATAGACTAGACAATAGACTAGACAATAGACTAGACAATAGACTAGACAATAGACTAGACAATAGACTAGACAATAGACTAGACAATAGACTAGACAATAGACTAGACAATAGACCAAACAGTAGACTAGACAATAGATTAGACAATAGACTAGACAATAGACTAGACAGTAGACTAGACAATAGACTAGACAATAGACGAGACAATGGACTAGAGAATATACTAGACAATAGACTAGATAATTGACTAGAGAATAAACTAGACAATAGATTAGACAATACACTAAACAATAGACTAGACTATAAATTAAATCTATTGCTAGCAAGTTTAAGTTTTTCTCTGTAAAGAAAGTTTAATGTTAACTTAAGTATTTCTCTATAATGGAAGTCTATCGCAAGTTTAGGTTTTTCTCTGTAAAAGAAATCATTCGTTAGCTAGAAAAGTCTATCGTTTGCTAAATCTTTTCTATATAAAGGAAACATGTCCAATGAAATTCATTGCCAGCTGAAGCTTTCCTCTATGAAGGAAATCAGTGACCAAGGAAATCTGTTACTTTCTTTTCTAAAGGAAGTTTTCTTGTAGTTAAAGTTTATCTTAGTTTTCACTGCATGTTTTTAAGAAACCGGAATTAATGACAAAATTTTTTCTATTCTAAGATTTGCCAAATTTAAATTTCTTAAATATTTAAGTTACAAAAACGTGTCCTATAATTGAAACTACATACATTGGAAAAAAAAACTCCGCTATGTAAATATTAGATCAGACAATATTTTTTATACTACGACAAACTTCTATTTGTTTTAGATTTCCCAGCAAGAGTAAACTCTCATCTCACCTGCCTGTACACAGTACTATTTGCACCTGTATATGCGATATTTGTGGGAATACGTTTTAAAAATAAATTCACACTTAAAAAGCACATTGAATATCATCATTCGGAAAATCCACGAAAAGATAAAGACCCCCAAACATGTCCTATTTGTCATAAAGTGCTACGAGGCCATAAGGGTCTAAGGGCCCACATGAAAAACATACACGATGACAATGGGGAGGAGCATCGTTGTAAAATCTGTAATCATGTTTCAACCACGGCCAAAGGTTTAAGAGTACACGAGATCTTTCGTCATGAAAAGGAAAGAAAACACAAGTGTTCGTTATGTAATAAGGCATTCAAGAGGCCATTGGATTTAAGAGTAATTATTTATTATAATAGAATATATGGAACAGTGTGATCATATTTGTAAATGGATTTTTTTCTGTCTTCTTTTAGGAGCATATTGCTACGCATACAGGCATGTCTTTGTATAAATGTGCTGAATGTCAGGCGACATTTAAGTCAAATTCAAATTATTATCATCATAGAAGGCGTTTTCATAGTGGAAAATCTAAAGCTGACTTATTGATTAAAATAGCCGATTGTCCTTAATAATGTAAATAACTGTACATTTATTTTTTATATGTTATTATAAATAAATGAGATATTATTAAGAAATTTTATGGAGTTTTTCTATAGTCAATTTTTTCACCATTTTGTTTTCAAACTTCTGAGTAAGGCATGGTAAATGCAGTACTTTAAAAACTTTTGATAAGTTGTCCATATAGTAGTCAATGAACCAGTCTATAGTCTAGTCTATAGTCTAGACCATAGACTATAGTCTATAGTCTAGTCTATAGTCTAGACCATAGACTATAGTCTATAGTCTAGTCTATAGTCTAGACCATAGACTATAGTCTATAGTCTAGTCTATAGTCTAGTCTATAGTCTAGACCATAGACTATAGTCTATAGTCTAGTCTATAGTCTAGTCTATAGTCTAGTCTATAGTCTAGACCATAGACTATAGTCCTATAGTCTAGTCTATAGTCTAGACCATAGACTATAGTCTATAGTCTAGTCTATAGTCTAGACCATAGACTATAGTCTATAGTCTAGTCTAGAGTCTAGACCATAGACTATAGTCTATAGTCTAGTCTATAGTCTAGACCATAGACTATAGTCTATAGTCTAGTCTATAGTCAGACCATAGACTATAGTCTATAGTCTATCTATAGTCTAGTCTATAGTCTAGTCAACAGTCTAGTCTATAGTCTAGTTCTTTTAGTCTAGTCTATAGTCTATAGTCTAGTCTATAGGTCTAGTCTATAGTCTAGTCTATAGTCTAGTCTATAGTCTAGTCTATAGTCTAGTCTATAGTCTAGTCTATAGTCTAGTCTATAGTCTAGTCTATAGTCTAGTCTATAGTCTGTCTATAGTCTAGTCTATAGTCTAGTCTTAGTCTAGTCTATAGTCTAGTCTAGTCTAGTCTAGTCTAGTCTAGTCTAGTCTAGTCTAGTCTAGTCTAGTCTAGTCTATAGTCTAGTCTAATTAGTCTGTCTATAGTCTAGTCTATAGTCTAGTCTATAGTCTAGTCTATAGTCTAGTCTATAGTCTAGTCTATAGTCTAGTCTATAGTCTAGTCTATAGTCTAGTCTATAGTCTAGTCTATAGTCTAGTCTATAGTCTAGTCTATAGTCTAGTCTATAGTCTAGTCTATTTTTCACCATTTTGTTTTCAAACTTCTGAGTAAGGCATGGTAAATGCAGTACTTTAAAACTTTTGATAAGTTGTCCATATAGTAGTCAATGAACCAGTCTATAGTCTAGTCTATAGTCCAGACCATAGACTATAGTCTAGTCTATAGTCTAGACCATAGACTATTGTCTATAGTCTAGTCTATAGTCTAGACCATATACTATAGTCTATAGTCTAGTCTATAGTCTAGTCAATGTCTAGTCAATAGTCTAGTCAATAGTCTAGTCTATAGTCTAGTCTATAGTCTAGTCTATAGTCTAGTCTTTAGTCTAGTCTTTAGTCTAGTCTATAGTCTAGTCTATAGTCTAGTCTATAGTCTAGTCTATAGTCTAGTCTATAGTCTAGTCTATAGTCTAGTCTATAGTCTAGTCTATAGTCTAGTCTATAGTCTAGTCTATAGTCTAGTCTATAGTCTAGTCTATAGTCTAGTCTATAGTCTAGTCTATAGTCTAGTCTATAGTCTAGTCTATAGTCTAGTCTATAGTCTAGTCTATTTTTCACCATTTTGTTTTCAAACTTCTGAGTAAGGCATGGTAAATGCAGTACTTTAAAAACTTTTGATAAGTTGTCCATATAGTAGTCAATGAACCAGTCTATAGTCTAGTCTATAGTCCAGACCATAGACTATAGTCTAGTCTATAGTCTAGACCATAGACTATTGTCTATAGTCTAGTCTATAGTCTAGACCATATACTATAGTCTATAGTCTAGTCTATAGTCTAGTCAATAGTCTAGTCAATAGTCTAGTCAATAGTCTAGTCTATAGTCTAGTCTATAGTCTAGTCTATAGTCTAGTCTTTAGTCTAGTCTTTAGTCTAGTCTATAGTCTAGTCTATAGTCTAGTCTATAGTCTAGTCTATAGTCTAGTCTATAGTCTAGTCTATAGTCTAGTCTATAGTCTAGTCTATAGTCTAGTCTATAGTCTAGTCTAGTCTATAGTCTAGTCTATAGTCTAGTCTATAGTCTAGTCTATAGTCTAGTCTATAGTCTAGTCTATAGTCTAGTCTATAGTCTAGTCTATAGTCTAGTCTATAGTCTAGTCTATAGTCTAGTCTATAGTCTAGTCTATAGTCTAGTCTATAGTCTAGTCTATAGTCTAGTCTATAGTCTAGTCTATAGTCTAGTCTATAGTCTAGTCTATTTTTCACCATTTTGTTTTCAAACTTCTGAGTAAGGCATGGTAATGCAGTACTTTAAAACTTTTGATAAGTTGTCCATATAGTAGTCAATGAACCAGTCTATAGTCTAGTCTATAGTCTAGACCATAGACTAGTCTATAGTCTAGACCATAGACTATAGTCTAGTCTATAGTCTAGACCATAGACTATAGTCTATAGTCTAGTCTATAGTCTAGACCATATACTATAGTCTATAGTCTAGTCTATAGTCTAGTCAATAGTCTAGTCAATAGTCTAGTCTATAATCTAGTCTATAGTCTAGTCTATAGTCTAGTCTTTATTCTAGTCTATAGTCTAGTCTATAGTCTAGTCTATAGTCTAGTCTATAGTCTAGTCTATAGTCTAGTCTATAGTCTAGTCTATAGTCTAGTCTATAGTCTAGTCTATAGTCTAGTCTATAGTCTAGTCTATAGTCTAGTCTATAGTCTAGTCTATAGTCTAGTCTATTTTTCACCATTTTGTTTTCAAACTTCTGAGTAAGGCATGGTAAATGCAGTACTTTAAAAACTTTTGATAAGTTGTCCATATAGTAGTCAATGAACCAGTCTATAGTCTAGACCATAGACTATAGTCTAGTCTATAGTCTAGACCATAGACTATAGTCTAGTCTATAGTCTAGACCCATAGACTATAGTCTAGACATATACTATAAGTTCTATAGTCTCGTCTATTAGGTCTAGTCAATAGCTTAGTTCAATTAGTCTAGTCTATACGTCTAGTCTATAGTCTAGTCTTAGTCTAGTCTATAGTCTAGTCTATAGTCTAGTTATACAGTCTGTCTATAGTTAGTCTATAGTCTAGTCTATAGTCTAGTCTATAGTCTAGTCATAGTTTAGTTCTAGTTCTGAGTCATCGTCTAGTCTATAGATTCAGTCTATATCTAGTCTAATAGTCTAGTCTATAGTTAGTCTATAGTCTAGTCTATATCTAGTTAGTCTATGTCTAGTCTATAGTCTAGCTCTAGTCTCGTCTATAGTCTAGTCTTAGTCGTCTGCTAGTCTAGTCTATAGTCTAGTCTATAGTCTAGTCTATATGTCTAGTCTATAGTTCTAGTCTATAGTCTCGTTCTATAAGTCTAGGTCATAGATCTAGTCTAGCTAGTCTAGTAGTCTAGTCTATAGTTCTCGTTCTATAGTCTAGTTCATAGTCTATAGTCTAGTCTATAGTCTAGTCTATAGTCTAGTCTATAGTCTAGTCTATAGTCTAGTCTATAGTCTAGTCTATAGTCTAGTCTATAGTCTAGTCTATAGTCTAGTCTATAGTCTAGTCTATAGTCTAGTCTATAGTCTAGTCTATAGTCTAGTCTATAGTCTAGTCTATAGTCTAGTCTATAGTCTAGTCTATAGTCTAGTCTATAGTCTAGTCTATAGTCTAGTCTATAGTCTAGTCTATAGTCTAGTCTATAGTCTAGTCTATAGTCTAGTCTATAGTCTAGTCTATAGTCTAGTCTATAGTCTAGTCTATAGTCTAGTCTATAGTCTAGTCTATAGTCTAGTCTATAGTCTAGTCTATAGTCTAGTCTAAAGTGTGTTTATATAGCGTCGGAGTGTTTTCATACAAGTAGTTTTGCATGGCTTTATTTATTTCGACGACTCGATAATGTATTTTCTGGATTCATAATTTCATAACAAACACTTATATTGATGCCCAAATATAATCTTATTTTCTTTATTAATAAACTCTTAAGAAAGACTACATTTACAATCAAAATCCATAATTTAAAATCCTCTAATGTTAAAAACTTTTTGAAATGAAAAATCAAATTTCTTCACATTTTTAACATTCTAGATTTCCTACCGCGAAACATTTGAGTGTTCACGAAAATACACATAATCCGCAAAATATAGTGATTTGTGATAAATGTGGTAAAACATTTCGTAATAAATGTCGTTTGAAATTCCATCACAGACATGATCATTCGAATGAACCGAAACCGGAAAAAATACCAGAACAATGTCCATTGTGTAATAAATGGTATTCATCGAAAGGTAGTGTAAGCGAACATATAAAAAATATGCATACAGACAATGATGTTGAACATCGTTGTCCGACGTGTGGCTTTATATCGACCACAGCGAAAGCTTTAAAGAAGCACATACTCTATAATCATGATGTCGTGCGTAGACATAAATGTAATTTATGTGAAAAGGCTTTTAAGAGACCGCAAGATATAAAGGTGAGTAGAGTTTATTTTATTAATTTACTTTTTTTATGGCTTTTAACTCGTTTTGCTGTTTTAGGAACATATGGCCACTCATACGGGAGAACCTTTGTATACTTGCGTGAATTGTGGTAAAACTTTCAAATCAAAAGCGAATATGTTTCATCATCGTAGACGTTTTCACAGAGCCGAATGGATGGCCGATCGCACAAAACCACCTAAAGAAAAATACTCGAGAAATTAATAAATTAATTGATGAAAGAAAGTTAATAAAATTTAGAAAATATTTCTACTAAATTTTAATTTTATTTGTTAGGAATGACTAAACTCTTTTTGAATTTTAACAGTAACTTATTTCACTTCAAATCCGCCTTTTCATCTCACATTATAGAACTTAAACTTAAGCTTTAATGTTTATAGGAAATCTGTCACTAGCTTAAGTTTTCCTCAAAAGCTCAGGCTTTTCTTTAATTAGCTCAAGTTTTACAAAAAAGCACCATTAAGTGTTCAGTTAAACTTAAACTAAAAAAAACTAAATATTTTTAAAAAAGATTTGAAATTTTCGAAAAAAAAATAAACTCAAAAATGTGCATTCCAAACTATTTATTAAAAAAAAAAAAAAAAACTTCCAGATATCCAAGTAAACGACGCTTAAATGAACATAGACATCATCACAATCCAGCCCGGGCCTATGTGTGTGATCAATGTGGCAAAATTGTCTATACCCTTAACACGCTGCACAAGCACAAGAAAGTTGTACATGGTGTTAAACCACCCAAAACTCCACTGCAGTGCGAATATTGTAAGAGATTTTACACAGGCAAACAGAATTTACAACATCACATACGTAATATGCATAATACAAATGAGGATAAGCGGAATGTTTGTGAACTTTGTGGTTTTGTATCCACAACTAGAGAAGGCAAAATGAAGCATATACGTTTTAAGCACCGGGCGGAAAAGAAATTTCAGTGTGCGGTGTGTGAGAGATCCTTCAAAGTGCCAGCCCTGTTAAAAGTGAGTTTCAACATTTAACGCAATATGTAGTAAAGCTTTGTTGTTCCTAATGTGTGTTGTGTTTGATTTTATAGGAACACATGGCTACCCATACCGGTGTGGATTTGTATAAGTGTTCATATTGTCCAAACACCTTTAAATCCAAGTCCAATATGTACAATCACTGTAAACGTTTGCATGCCGCTGAATTTGAGAACAGAACTACTAAACGCATGCGTATACCGAAAACAGTGCCGAATTTAGTAGATGTTGAAAGTGTTGATTTTGAATTGTTGAACTAATGAAATGTTTTGTTAAGTCTTTAAAAGGGACTATATTCAATACTCTCTAACTTGGATTTGCATGAAAATGAGTTTTTTGATGGCAAAATATTCTGGAAGCCAGACTTTATATCTGATATATTTTCAAAATAAGTTTTCTTAACGATTTAATACAAAATTATTGAAATTCCAACGAATTAACAAAATAAACAGTTTTATTGCTTTCTTAAGAACTAGTATTTTATAAGATAGAGAGTTTTGAATATTGTCTCTCCATATGACATAAAGAAAATATAAAATATCGTAAATTTAGAAAACTTGTTAATATATAGTAATAATTTCCAAGTTCATTATTATAAAGATCTTGAAAAACTTGTGTGTTTTTTTAAAATAAATTATTTTCTAATTCTATTTTAAATTTGAAATAAAATCATAAAATTAAGAACTCCACTATTACAAACAGTTAAAGTGTATTCATTTTTCATATTGTACATTGTTTTCGTATTTCTAATATATTTTAGATTTCCAACCGCAAAAAATTTGACTCTACACGAAAATAATTCGCATAATCCCCAGAATATAGTGATATGCGATAAATGCGGTAAAACTTTTAGAGATAAATGTCGTTTGAAATTACATCACCGACATGATCACTTAAACGAACCGAAACCGGAAAAAATACCACAAGAATGTCCATTCTGTAATAAATGGTATTCATCGAAATCGAGCGTACAAGATCATATACGTAATATGCATACAGACAACGATATCGAACATCGTTGTCCCACCTGTGGTTTTGTCTCGACTACGGCGAAAGCTTTAAAGAAGCATATACTTTTTAATCATGATGCTGTGCGTAGACATAAATGTAATTTATGTGAAAAGGCCTTTAAAAGGCCACAGGATATAAAGGTGAGTATTTTTTTCCAAATAATTTTTTATAGTTTTAAATAATTTTGATTTTTAGGAACATATGGCTACGCATACGGGCGAACCTTTGTATACGTGCGTGAATTGTGGTAAAACTTTCAAGTCAAAAGCGAATATGTTTCATCATCGTAGACGTTTTCATAGAGCCGAATGGATAGCCGATCGTACAAAACCTCCTAAAGAGAAATATTCTAGAAATTAATGTTAAAATATGAGAATTAATAAATATAAATTTTAATACATAAAAGAATCATGATCAAGATAATATCTTATTTGGCTGTCTGGTTTGGTTCAAAATTTTAAATTAATCATGGCTACATCTAATGTTAATACAATAGAAAGTTTTAATAAAACTTGAATGCTCAAATTTTTTCTTAAAAAACATATTTTCGAAACTTGTGTTCGATGTGCTAAAATGAATAACAGAATCTTGCCTTTGAATTTGTCTCCAAATGTCGTGTCATGAAGGTTGAAAAATCCCACTTTTGGTCATATTTCAGGCTTAATAACAGCGCAAAGACCCCTTTATTTATAAAGTTTGTCATGTCTTCTGAAGTTCAATCTGTCAACTTTGAAATAAAGCTTTAAGTGCTGTTATATCTTCTCCCTTCTTTAAGATATCTTATAGTTAGACAGACAGACAGATAGATAGATAGATAGATAGATAGATAGATAGATAGATAGATAGATAGATAGATAGATAGATAGATAGATAGATAGATAGATAGATAGATAGATAGAATAGATAATAGATAGATAGATAGA